CCGTCAGCATGGAGCCTGCTTCAGATTCTCTCCCTTTCTCTCTGTCCCTCCCCCCTCTCAAAAATTAAGGAAAAAAAAAAACATTAAAAAGAATACCATCAAGTTATTTTGTGGCTATTGACAAACTGGATCTAGTGTATAAGGAGAGACAAAAAAAGACCCAGAATAGCCAACACATTGGAGGAGATGAATAAAGTTGGAAGACTGACACTATCTGACTTGAGGACTCACTGTAAAACTACAGTGATCAAGACAGTGAGGTGTTGGCAAATATACAAAGAATTCTTCAAACTCAACAATAAAGAAACAAACACTCTGACTGAAAAATGGTCCAAAGACCTTAACAGACTCCTCAACAGAGAAGACATAGAGATGGGGAATGAGCAAATGAAAAGATGCTCCACATTCATATGTCATCTGGGAAATGCCAATTAAAACAACAATGAGGTACCACTACCTGCCAATGAGAATGGCCACAATCTAGAATACTGACAACACTAATCACTGGTGAAGATGTGGAGCAGCAGGAACCCTCATCACTGCTGGTGGGAAGACAGAACGATGCAGCCACCTTGGAAGACAGTTTGGCGGTTTCTTACAAAACTACACACGCTCTTACCGTACAACCCAGCAATCACATTCTTTGGTATTTACCCAAAGGAAATGAAAACATGTCCACACAGAAACCTGCACAGAGTTGTTTGCAGAAGCTTTATTCATAATTGCCAAAATTTAGAAGCAACCAAGATGTCCTTCAGTAGGTAAACAGATAAATAAACTGGTTCATCCACTCAGTGGAATATTTCAACAAAAGAAATGAGCTGTCAAGTCAAGAAAAGACATGGAAGAAACTTAATTCCATATTACTAAATGAAGTCAATATGAAAGGTTACTGTATGATTACAACTATATGACATTCCAGAAACCTGTGGAGACAGTAGAAGGATCAGTGGTTGCCTGGGGCTGAGGGGTGGGTGGGGGGAAGGATGAATAGCAGAGCACAGAGGATTTTTAGAGCAGTGAAAATGCTCTAGAATATCATAATGATGGATATATATTATTATACATTTGTCCAAACCCATAGAATATACACCAAGAGTGAACCATAACAAACTGGGTGATTATTATGTATCCATATAGTTCATTAGTTGAAACCAGTGTATCACCCTGGTGGAGGATGTTCAGAATGGGGGTTGGGGGCGGTTTGCTGTGCATGTGTCAGGGCAGGGTGTCTGTAGGAACTCTGTCTATCTTGCCCTCAATTTTGCTGTGAACCCGAAACTGCTCTAAGAAGTATATAAAGCTTTAATTAAGTAAAATAAAAGAAGTGGGGAGAAAAAAACCCTGGAAAATAAATCTGCATGCCCAGATGGTTTCACTGACACATTTTGTCACTTAAAAAAGAAATAGCACCAATTTTATATAGTCTCTCTCATGTATTTTTAACTTTTTATTTTGAGATTTTAGTCTTATAAGTTATAGCAGTAGTACATAGAATTCATTCAATCTCCTGCAATAACATCTTATATAACCATAGTACATTATCAAACTATTTTCCATATATTCTTAATTACAATTATTGTGCTAAAAATGTAAAGAGCTCAAAAGTATATGAAGTAAAAAATAAAATCTTCCTCCCACCCACCCCAAGCTAAATAAATAAATCACTATTAATAATTTGGGCATCCCTCCAGACATTTCCTGGAGGAAGATGTATACACCTTGACACATGCATAGTTTTATTTATTTGTTGTTACCAGAATTAGATCATTCTTTATGTATATAGTTTTTCAACTCGCTGCTTTTACATAATAGGATATCATGAACCTATGTTAAGTGATAACCATCCCTTACCTTCCAAATACCAGGGCATTGTTTAGGACCAACAGTATTCTGTAGTAATGATTTATGGCAGCATATTTACTTTTTTTTTTTTTTTTTGATGAAAAATTAGATTGTCTCCCATTATTTGCTGTTATATGTAATGTGCATTGCTTATCCTTGTTGCTGTGACCTTAAGGAGTTACTGAATGATTTTGAGAATAGGCTTTTAGAAACTGTGGTTGGAGAGGTGCCTAGGTGGGTCAGTCAGTTAAGCATCCAACTCTTGATTTCGGTTCGGGTCCTGATCTCACAGTTTGCGGGTTCAAGCCCCGCATCAGTCTCTGCGCTGACAGTGTGGAGCCTACTTGGGATTCTCTGTCTCCTCTCTAAATAAACAAACAAACAAACAAACAAACAACAAAAAAAAGAAACTGTGGTTGGGACTTGGAGATATCATTGAGATTTTGTATTTGTGACTTTGGTTTGCAGCAATGGAGGTCAACATGTGCAGCACCTGGCAGGCTGGTTAGAACAGCTACCAGCCCACACACCACAAGAGAAGGATGGGCCCTGGCATTTTCCCAAAGTCCCCCAGGTGCCTGGATTCTCAGCAAGGATGAGCATTAGTCTGTCTGAGATTCCCCTCAGCTCTCAGATCAGTGTTACCCCAGTTTTGTGCAGCTAGGTAGGGAGTTTGGCTCTCCTATTTATCTCTTTAGTGTTTACTGAACTTGAGTTCAGAAAACTTGGATTTGAGTCCTTTTTTATTAGCTTATTAGTTCTGTATCTACGTTCTGTTTTGGAATTCTACCTTGCTCTTTGTGTGGGTAGAAGTGTTGCATCCAGTGGTGTGTTGGGTTAGTGTGTAGTTGGATGAGTGAAACATGGTAACTGGTTACATGCTGGTTGTGTTCAGCTGGTTCACAGAAACATGAAGCAAGGAGGTAATGTTTCATCTCTGAATGCTCTTTGACACCTTCACCATGTAAATGTTCATTTGAAATGAAAACGTAAGAAGGAGCCGTTTCTAGGAAATTAATACTTAATTTTTAAATATCCTAGGGGCGTCTGGGTGGCTCAATCGGTTGAGCGTCCAGCTTTGGCTCAGGTCATGATCTCATGGTTCGTGGGTTCGAGCCCCGCGTTGGGCTCTGTGCTGACAGCCAGCTCAGAGCCTGGAGCCTGTCTTCACATTCTGTGTCTTTCTCTCTGACCCTCCCCTGCTCACACTGTCTCTCTCTCTCAAAAAAAATAAAATAAATAAATAAATGAAATATCCTGGAAAACCAAATGCTCTGCTCTTAAATGGGGATTTATCAGTTTTAGTTTAGTGTTAACAATATTTAGTTTTCATTTAAGTTTGTCTTAATTACATATTTTCATATATTTCAGGGGAAACATTTTTTAGTAGATACTTCTATAAAAAATAGATGTGCTTTAAAGTTGTTCATAAATTAAAAATTAATAAGCTGGATTGTACAATTCTATCCTGGTCCAGACTGGGGTCTGTGAGTGTCCAGTGAGCAGGTAGGACACGGACAGTGCACCCCAAGGGCCATGGCAATTAGTAGGGGATACAAGGATACAAACTAATACACATTCTGCAGAAAGATTCAAATTAAGACTGGTTTTCTGTAGGGTTGGTGGGGGGGGGAAATAAGGGACAGAGGGATAAATAAAGTGCAGATGAAATAAATAAGATAGGCTCAATGGGGAGGGCTGGACTGAATGAGCTGTGATTAAAGCAGTGCAGACCTGCTGGGAGCTTGTGATGGTCTGGCCTCGTGCTTCCCTGACCCCAGACTTGTCTTCTGTAGGATGCTATATTAATGCCCGAGGCTTTCAGTGAGTCTTAGCTTAGATGTGAGACATTCAGTGTTGTCGGGTGTTTTGACACAACAAATCCTGCAGTCAAGAGTTCATATAGGGGCACTTGGAGGCTCAGACAGTTAAGCATCCGACTTCAGCTCAGGTCATGATCTCACAGTTCATGAGTTCAAGCCCTGGTCAGTCTGTCTGCTGTCAATGCAGAGCTGCTTCAGATCCTTTCTCCTCTCTGCCCCTCCCTGACTCTCTCTTTGCAGAGTTCATATGAAGAAGATACTTGGCAAAGCACCACTCAGTGATAGCCGCTTGTGTCTCCTGGTTCCCAGCAGCCCGCCCCCATGCTTGTCTGGTTGGGGCAAGGGCTGGAAAACTGAGGAAGGCTTACAAAACATTAAAACTTTCTGTTGAAGAAAGTCTGCCCAAACAGGCTACCAGTGGAAACTGTAATATATATTTCTGGTCTAAATAAAGTCTCTAAAGCATGACAGATTCACTTTGGGTGTGCCAAGTTCTCTCTAGGAAACTGAGTGTGCACATAGATTGAGAAGTGTTTCCATGAAGACGCACTTCCTGTCTTGTTCCTGGTGGTTTAATTCATTTTTAGGTTGTTCTTCTTTTGGTGATTTGTCAGAACAGCCGTCCCTGTGCTGGAGTTGTTGCTCGGGGGCGTGCTTTGGCCCGAGACCAGCTCTTCCCAGCTCGAACCAGCACAGGAGTCGCTCTGGGATCGTGGTAAAATGCAGGCTCACGTTTGTTCAAGAGTGTGGCCCCAGATGCTGCTTTTTTTTTTTTAACTGTAAAAATCTTTATTTTTGAATTTTTTTATTAAATGTTTTTAGAGACCGCATTTCTGATAGGCTCTTAGGGAATACCAAATGCAGTTTTTAAACATTAAAGTATTATTGACCCACAGTAAAAGTCTCTCTTCCGGTGTGTAGGCCTAGCAGGTTTTGACCAGCACGTGCCTCGTGGGCTGCCACCTCCGCAAAGGAGCAGCGTCGTTACCCCTCAGGTTCCCTGGTTCCCCTCTGTACTCAGCCGTTTCTCAGCCGCCTCCTGGCAGCCACTGTCTGCTCTGTCCCTACAGTTTTACCCTTTCCAGACGGTCATACAAATGGAGTAATTCAGCGTGTAGCCCTGTGAGCCTGGCTTCTTTCCAGTAGTCATGCGAGCTCTATCCAAACTCTTGTGTGTGTCAGTGCTTTGTTCCTCTTTACTGCTGACTAGTATTCCGTTGTGTGGATGCATCATAGATACTACTGTTTCAAGGTTCTCCATTATGAATTTTTAATCCAAAAAGTTTGGAACTCTGGAGGAAATATAATGGTCTTTTTCCACTGTCGTTTTAGGTGACATCACTCAGAAAGGATATGAAAAGAAACGGGCAAAACTGCTTGCGCGCTATATCCCGCTTGTTCAAGGTAAAGTCAGCTTACTCAGCTGTTTTCTAAGTCATTTTTCTCACTAAACTTGACTTAAAGATTGGTTTTAGAGTTTAACATTGGTATGTTTCCTATTTATTAGCTTTTTGTGATAATGGCAATGTTCTGTAACCATTAGCCATGTTTGGCTATTGTGCACTTGAAATATGGCCGGTGTAACTGAGAGACTGAATTTTTAATTCAATTGTAATTAATTAAGCTTAAATAGCAAGAAAGTCCTCCAACATGATTAAAAAAAAAAAAACAGTAGAAAAATGGGGCTGAAGACTTGAATCACTATTTTGTAAACGGAAACCCTACTAGTCTATAAGCAAACAAAAAAAGGTTTAACCTCAGTAGTAATCAGAGAAATATGGATTAAAACCATAACCTACCTTGGGTTGTTGGAGGGGATTCAAACAGTGGGTTGTGGACAGCTGGTAAAGCCAACGAGGGGCAGAGCTGACCAGCAGCCATCCTTGAGGTGCACGCCTGTTCTGGACAGACTCGTTACATTTGGACCTTGTCCTCTCTCTGTGCACAAGAGTGTTTGTTACATCCCTGAAGTTCCAAGAACTGGCATGTCCATCGGCAGAGTGCACCCAGTGGACAGCTTGAAGACCGACATGCGGCAGCAAGGATGAATCTCGTAAACACAATGGGGAGTGGAGGAAACAATATAGGGAATATAACCTGAAAAAAACACGCCCGACTGTGCTGTTGAGGACTCTTGTGTAGTTGGTAAAGAAAGACAAGAAAATTGTTTTCACCAAAGTCAGCCTGCCATGTCCTCATGGTGGGAGGTGGCTGCGGGGGCTCTGAAGGCACTCACGTGTTTATTTCCTTCCCAGGGCAGTTTTCACGTCCGTTTTCTCCTGTGTGATAGTTTGTAAACTGAACACATCCTTTATACTGCCTATGTCAGCATGATATATTTTAAAATAAATCAACAATAAAAAGAGGATGAAGAGGCTTGTTATGTACTGACTTTCATTAATCCAAAGCCAAAGAAAAGCAAACTGGAATTGCTGGAATTGAAGGGAACTGTTAAAAGTGTCTTAAAGCCCATGTGATAAATGTCACCAGAACTGTCAGACTAGGTGACACAACTGTAGCATCTCCAGCCCAAGCAGGGTGGGACAGCATTGCTCGCCATGCCTGTTCTGATGCCACTCTGTTCTGGTGGCCACTGCCGCCGCAGTGTGACGGGAGGGCAGGCAGGGTGGATGCTGGAGACGATCGTCTGCACTGAGAGATGGTGTCATTGTGGTCCTTGGAAACACAGGTGGCTTCTTGCTCACCCGTTAGACTTAGTAAGAGTTTTTGGTTTGATAGAAGACAGATGTGCAAGGATCAATAGCTTTTATCTGACAGTATTTTAATGAGAAAACTTACATTTGTAATGACAATAAACTGTCAAATGCTTATTAATACATTTAGCACAAAAGCCACAGAACCTGTATTAGAATCATAAAATCTATTTGAAAGAAATAGCCAAGACCCTAAAATATGAAGAAAGATACTAATTTCCTAAATGGAAAAAGTTAGTATCATGAAATGTCAGTTCACAGATTAATCTGTGAATGTTGTGTAGTCCAATCTGAATACCACTGGCTGATTTTTAAAATTTCTAAACCCAGTTTAAGGAGAAAACCCAGTTCTGAGAGTAGGCAATACATTGTTGAAAAAGAACCCTAGTGAGAAAGGGCCGGCCTTCAGGGTGGTAGACCTGACTGTGTGGGCATACAGTCACCGCAAGAGGGTGCTGGGTGTTTGGGGCAGAAGAGCTAGTCCGCCGAAGGGCGGGTGTCTGGGAGCGCTGCAGGCAGCGCGGAGGAGGGGGCCGCACCTTATAGCGGGGGTCGGCCCTATGCAGGGCTGGGACCCTCTTCCTCTCTACCATTAGCCAACAGGGACTTGAGAAAGATTAAAGCTCTAAGTATGTGATTATAAAATACTGTAACATTCAGGATATCTGAATGACTTCAGAGTGGGGTTTATAAGATGGGAGACCTGGAAGTTAGAAAGTAAAAGAAAGCGGGTACGTGTCGTTCCCTAGAAATGAAAATATTTCAGAATGGCTGAGCTGCCACCAGCCGGGCCCTGCTCTCAGGCGTGGGCACAGGCCAGGGTCGTGTCCCCAGCAGAGCGAGTCTTCCTGCAGGTCTTCTTCAAGAACTTGTTAGCTGGATGAAATGAATAGAAATTCAAGGGAGAGGAAACATGGATGGACAATAAACATTAAATTATGTTCACCCCACTAACAGGTGTGGAAGTGCAAATTAAAGCAAACCATTTTCGTCCTATGAGATTGGCACAATTCTAAACAACTGTTTTTAGCATCCAGTGCTGAAAAGGATGTGAGGAAATAGCACTTTCGTGCATTGCTTGTGGGCATGCATGTTGCTGTAACTTTTTTAGAAAATTACTTCTTGGTAACTGTAAAAATTAAAAATGTACCTGCTCTTTCATGTGATAATTTCACAGTGGGCTTGTAATCTTTGTGGAATAAGTGAATCTCAAAGAATAAAAACACCCGTATTTTGGAATGCAAGTTTAGGATGCCCATAAGCAAATATACGACTTTGCGACGTGCCTGTTTATAATCCATAATGCACAAGGCTCTGTGTATTCTCCATTATGGACTTTGGAGTAATTTTATCCAGTCATAAGAAACAAAATGCCAGTTGCAGTGCTGACCAGTTTTAGTCTTCGTGTGTGTGTATGTATATGCTCAAATTTTGAAGAGCTAAACACCGATTTCCAGAAGGAGTCTTCCCATCGTCTAGCTCTGTGTCACTAACCGCCCCAAAGTGTAGTGCCTGAGGAGCACTGATGGCGTCCATTCTGCCCACACATCTGCGGTCTGGCCTGGCGGTGCTGCTGAGTCCGGGCCGCCGTAGCCCCTGCGGTCCTTGTACGTGTCCTCGTGGTGTGTTGTGTCAGTGAATCTCCAGGTCACGCAGGGTTGCTCTGCCACACTGTGCTCAGCAGTGGGTTGGAGGCAGGGATAGACGGCCTCTTTTCAGGAGGTGATAAGGGCTGGAGGAGCCCACGGGGCTGGAATGCCTGCTGGCTGTTTTTATGAGGCGTCTTGAACCAGAGACTAAATCTAAACTTACTGCTTTGCTGCAGCTTGACAGAAGGCTTTGCTTTGTGCTGTTCTCTAATGTCAGCCAGTCAGAGCTCAAGCAACACCAGGGGTTCTGTTTCATGACCCTGTGTGCTTGGGCCCCGGCCCTTTACTCCCCATACCGTGTCCTCAGGACCTGTGTGGTCAGGGGCTGTGGGCTTGGCGGCAGTGTGGCGCGCCGTCCAGAGCTTGGGTTTGGAGACAGCAAGCAGGCGTCACAGGCTGAGGTCATCAGTGCCTGAGGTCTCTGCACCCCATGCTCTGTGACTGTCATTATCACATGCACCCCTCACTTCTCCACTGTCCTACGTTTCTGCCTGTGTCCAAGGACAACTGGTTATGCCCCAGTGACTGCTTAGTGGGACGTTTCTCACTGAGTTTGTTGACATCATGGACAGTGCCAGGAAGTGACACAGGCCTTTTCAGATTCAGGAAACGTTTATGATGCAGAAACATTCTTTTAAAAACTCTTCCCAAGAGAGTCTGCCCTAAGTGGCTGCATGTATTGTGCTGATGGCCTTGGAGATGTTGTGTGATGGTCACCCTTTTTGGGGATGGTGGACTGTGAGGCAGGGCAGGCTGGGCACTTTTGAGAGAGAGAGTCGGAAGGGGACATTCGCCACATTCACCACAGGGTGTATGTGCACAGATCATTATTTTTGATAAGGTGCATGCTATGTAGTAACATAGAAATATGTGCTGTTTTAAATGGATTTTTCCATCATCAGGAAAGCAAATTGTTTACACAAGATACTCCTACAAAATTGTGTTGCAGGAGTAGATCCATCCCTACAAGCCGAGAATCGCATCCCAGGGCCCTCACAAACCACAGCCTCAGCGCCCAAACAGCAGAAGCCACGGCCCACCAACTCCCGGGACGAACGCTTCCGGTCAGGTAGGTAGGGGCCAGAGGGGGCAGGCGTCAGCGTGTGGACCGGCTTTCAGTTCTTTGTTCTTTGCTGTAAATGTTCTTTGCTCTCTGAAGCAACTGTTTTCATTTGAATGATAATTTTCTATATCATGATATTTTTCAAGAGAAAATTTAACCTCCTCATAACCACAGTGTCTCTTAGTGTAACCTGCAAGATAGGTACTCTAAAATCTCTGGAGAAATGTCCTTCCACCCCAGTTAGTATAATTTCTTTAAACATTTTTGTCCACTTTTCTACCTCAAACTTGGGGTTGGTTGGTATTAGTAATTTTTGTACATTATGGAGCAGCTTTACTACTCTAAGTGTTTTTAATATTTTTTTTTTCTAATTTGGAGATTTTCTTCTAATTAGATTTCTGCCACTGTCAGTATTTTTATAAGTATTTAAAGTGTCTATGGGGGTGCCTGGGTGGCTCAGTCAGTTCAGCGTCTGACTTCGGCTCAGGTCATGATCTCATGGTTCGTGGGTTCGAGCCCCATGTCGGGCTCTGTGCTGACAGCTCAGAGCCTGGAGCCTGTTTCAGATTCTGTGTCTCCCTCTCTCTCTGACCCTCCCCTGTTCACGCTGTCTCTCTCTCTCTCAGAAATAAATAAAACATTAAAAAAAATTTTTAAATAAATTGTCTATGATATTTGAATTATCAGGTTGCCCATTGAAAAAATTAATGTTTTCAGTTGTAGGTTACATGTCAGTAAGTTTTGGGTACTCTGCTTCACCTGTTTAACAACATTTCCACCATTGTGTGATTGTATATTTCCTTTCCATTTAAGCTCTTTTGGTAAGCCTTTTTTTTTAAATAAAGAAAAACTTTCAACAGAGGTAAAGAAACGGCCCCTGTTTTAAGAATATCTAAGAAAGATGTTAAGATTTAAAAAATTGTTTTTAATGTTTTATTTATTTCTAGGAGAGAGAGAGAGAGAGAGAGACAGCGTGAGCAAGGGAGGGTCAGAAAGAGAGGGAGTCACAGACTGAAACAGGCTCCAAGCTCTGAGCTGGCAGTCAGCACGGAGCCCGACGTGGGGCTCGAACCCACGAACCGCGAAATCATGACCTAAGCAAAAGTCGGACGCTTAACTGACTAAACCACCCAGGCGCCCCTAGATGTTAAGATTTTAAAAATTATGTTAACATGGTAGTGTAATGAAGTGATTTGAAAAATTTTTGATCAGGTAATTTCTTATGAATTTAATGTAGATAGTCACATGCACATATAGATACCCACATGCAGATTCTTGCACATGCTTGTGGATAGTCACATGTGCATGCAGACACCTGCATGCAGATACTTGCACCGGCACACAAATACTTGCACACTGAAACCTGCACATCCACGCAGATACCTGCATACACACTCTACAGATACTGGCATGTGCTTGCAGATATTCACTCGCAAATACTCACATGCACACGCAGATACTTGCACACGCAGGCGTGCACTCTGTGAATTGGGTCAGAGTAAAGGTCCCCTTCCCCTCCCTGTCTTCCTTATTTTCCTGCTCCCCCATCCTCTGCTCCCCATCTGTTTCCATATGACTGATGTTAATAAACTGTATATTCTAGGGGCGCCTGGGTGGCTTAGTCGGTTAAGCGTCCAACTTTCGCTCAGGTCATGATCTCGCGGTTCGTGGGTTCGAGCCCCGCATCGGGCTCTGTGCTGACTGCCAGCTCAGAGCCTGGAGCCTGTTTCAGTCTGCGACTCCCTCTCTCTCTGACCCTCCCCTGCTCACGCTGTCTCTCTCTCTCTCTCCTAGAAATAAATAAAAAAAATTAAAAAATTAAAAAAAAAAAACTGTATATTCTAGCTCTAATTCTAGTTCTAATTCATTATTTTTTGCATACAAGACCTTTATCATTGCCGTTATAGCTTTGCTAGTATTTTCTGTAGGGCTTTGTCTTGTCTATGCATTCTCTTCAAGTAGCTTTTGAAGACTAAAGGTTTTTAATTTATTTTTTAAAGTTTTATTTGTTTTAAATATTTAACTTATTGTTTAATTTACATCCAAGTTAGATAGCATATAGTGCAACAATGATTTCAGGAGTAGATTCCTTACTGCCCCTTACCCATTTAGCCCATCCCCCCTCCCACACCCCCTCCAGCAACCCTCTGTTAGTTCTCTATATTTAAGAGTCTCTTATGTTTTGTCCTCCTCCCTGTTTTTATATTATTTTTGCTTCCCTTCCCTTATATTCATGTGTTTAGCATCTTAAAGTCCTCATATGAGTGAAGTCATATGATATTTGTCTTTCTCTGACTAATTTTACTTATCATAATATCCTCCAGTTCCATCCATATAGTGGTAAATGGCAAGATTTCATTCTTTTTGATGGCTGAGTAATACTCTATTGTATATATGTACCACATCTTCTTTATCCATTCATCCATCCATGGACATTTAGATTCTTTCCATACTTTGACTATTGTCAATAGCACTGCTATAAACATTGGGGTGCATGTGCTCCTTTGAAACAGCACACCTGCATCCCTTGGGTAAATACCTAGTAGTACAATTGCTAGGTCATAGGGTAGTTCTATTATTAATTTTTTGAGGAACCTCCCCACTGTTTTCTAGAGTGGCTGCACCAGTGAGCATTCCCACCAGCAATCCAGAAGAGATCCTCTTTCTCCCCATCCTCGCCAACATCTGTTGTTGCGTGAGTTGTTAATGTTAGCCATTCTGACAGGTGTGAGGTGGTATCTCATTGTGGTTTTGATTTGTATTTCCTTGATGATGAGTGACATTGAGCATTTTTTCATTTGTCAGTTGGCCATCTGGATGTCTTCTTTGGAGAAGTGTCTATTCATATCTTTTGCCCATTTTTTTCACTGGATTATTTGTTTTTTGGGGGGTATTGAGTTTGACAGTTCTTTATAGATTTTGGATACTTACCCCTTATCTGGTATGTCATTTGCAAATTATCTTCTCCCATTCCATTGGTTACCTTTTAGTTTTGCTGATTGTTTCCTTTGCCATGCAGAAGCTTTTTATTTTGATGAGGTCCCAATAGTTCATTTTAGTTTTTAATTTTTTTTTTAAGATTTTAAGTAATCTCTATGCCCAAAACGGGGCTTGAACCCACAACCCTGAGATCCAGTGTCGCACACTTCACTGCTTGAGCTAGCCAGATGTTTCCAGAAGTCCCACTTATCAGCTTTTTTTTTTTTTTTTTAAATGGACAGGGCTTTTGTTCATGTATCTAAGAAAATTTTGCCTTACCCAAGGTCACAAAGATTATCTGTTTTCTTCTAGAAGTTTTCTGCTTTTATGTTTTACCTTTAGGTCTCTGATCCATATTTTAGTTAATTTTACTATTAGTTCAAAATATAGCTCTTAGCTAATTTTTTCTGCACATGCACATCAGGTTGCCTCCACCAGACCCTACCTTTGTTACTCTGTCCAGAAGCAGCTGCAGCGTGGATATGCAATCTGTTTGCGGACTCTCTTCTGTGCTGTTGATGTAGTCATCTGTTTTCATGGCAAAACCCTGCCCTCGATGATTAGAGCTTAATAGTAATTGTTGAAATCAATAGTGTTCTTCCTCCACGTTTTGTTCCTTATTGCTCTTCTTTGTCTGTAATGTGACTTTTCCTCTGGCGCTTTTTTAAGATTTTTCTATCACTGGTTTTGAGTGATTTGATTATGATGTGGCTCAGCTTATGTAGTTTTATGTTTCTTGGGGTTTGTTGAGCTTCTTAGATTAGGCTTAGACCCCTATTGTGCTGCTGTTGTGTAGATTCTTAGTTCTGTGTTGTTCTATATGTGCTTGTGATTGTGTTTGTTTCTAAGACTGCAGTGGAGTCTACAGTGCGTGCTCCTAGTCACCGCCGTGTCTATTGCAGGGACTCCTGGCTCTGTCTCTCTCTCTCAAGCACTTCTTATGTCTGGGAATATTTTTGTTAGACCCTTATGTTGTTTAAATGATAATTTAATGGGTGTCAAGTTCTAGGTTCAACACGTTTTTCTTCAATACTAGGTTCTTTCTTGTACCCAGTGGTTACTATTGAGTAATAGGAGTCTATTTCTTGATCCTTTCCAGATGATTTACTCTTTCTCTGGAAGATTATAGAATTATCCTGTCTTTGATGTTTGTTAAAATTTTTTTAATTTTTAATTTTTTTAGAGAGAGTGCAAGTGAGTGAGCAAGGGAAGGGCAGAGAGAGAGAGAGAATTCCAAGCAGGCTCCACACTAAGCACAGAGCTTGACATGGGGCTGATCCTATGACCCTGGGATCATGATCTGGGCCAGAATCAAGAGTTAGATACTTACTGACTGAACCACCCAGGTGCCTTTGATGTTTACATTTTTTTTTTACTTTTTGTAATGTTTTTTTTTTGTTTTTTTTTTTAATTTCTGAGAGAGAGATTGAGAATGTGAGCAGGGGAGGGTCAGAGAGAGAGAGACACAGAATCTGAAACAGGCTCCGGGCTCTGAGCTGGCTGTCAGCACACAGCCCGACGCGAGGCTTGAACCCACGAACCGTGAGATCATGACCTGAGCCGAAGTCAGATGCCCAACTGACTGAGCCACCCAAGTGCCCCATAAATTTTATTTTAATACATCTAGGTGCAAATTTTTCATCTTTCCTGATTAGCACCCTGTGGACCATTTCAATGTAAGGTTTTTCAATGTTTTAAAAACTTTTTTTTTTTTAGAGAAAACTGTAAACATGTACATAAGTGGACTTTCTAGTGTAATAACCTCCTGGACTCATTGTCAGATGCATACCTCCCGGCCGTGCTCCATCTTGATTCATTTATCCACACCCCGTGTACTTCCTCCCTTCCCACGTGATTTTAGAGCAAATCTTAGAGGTCACATTCTTTCATTTCGATGTCATTATATTCATGGTCTCTGTCTGGAGAGGATCGTGGCCTTGTGTCTCTAAAGATAAAAACCATTGTCACAAAATAACAATAATTCCTTAATATCAAATATCCAAATGTTCATATGGCTTTTTAAATTTTTTTATTTTTGTATAAAATTTTTTTTGAGTAAGCTCTATGCCCAGCGTAGGGCCTGAACTCAACCCCAACATCAGGAGTCCCACACTCCACCAACTGAGCCAGCCAGATGCCCCATGGTTTTTTAGAAACAGTTTGTTTGGACCCAGGATCCAGATAAGTTTACATATCACAAATGGTAGCTGGTGTTTTCAGTCTCCCTTCACTTATGCATTCCCTTCCTGCAGTCTGTAGAAAACCCTGGGCTGTGTGTCTGGCAGCTGCTGTGTGGTGCAGCCCTCACCTCTGAGGCTCCCTGAAGGTCGGGTGAGATTTTCTGTTGTCCCTAAGACTTCAGAGATGGCGCTATGTTCTCCCACCAGGAGATGAGCATGTCCGATTCTCCCTGGGATGCTGGTAGCCCGTGATACCCAGTTCCCAGATCCACGCAGTCATGAGGTGGTGGCATGGCAAAAAAAAAAATCTGTCATCTTCTCCATTGGAAGGCTGGAGTACTTCTGTAAAGAGAAACTCCTCCTTGCTTGCTACGTGGTATAGGAGAGCCAGGATAAGTACCCAATTCTTTCCATATATTTACTCCTCAGAATAATGAGTTGGGTCAATGGCATCCTCCAATGGCAGGTGATTAATTTTGCTTCCTCTTTACGGGCACCTGGGTGGTTCAGTCGGTTGAGCATCTGACTTCAGCTCAGGTCATGATCTCATAGTTCATGAGTTTGAGCCTCGCATTGGGCTCTGTGCTGACACCTCAGAGCCTGGAGCCTGCTTCAGATTCTGTGTCTCCCTCCCTCTCTCTCTCTCTGCCCCTCTCCTGCTTGCTCTCTGTCTCAAAAATAAACATTTAATACAATTAAAAAATTTTTTGCTTCCTTTCTGTTCATTTATCTTTTTTTTTTTTTTTTTTTTTACTGTTGTATTTGTATTTAGTGCATTCTAGCATTTATCCTTGTTGATGTTCAAAATGTTTCATTCTTAGCCAATGGGAACATCTTCAGATCGGCTCCATGGCCACCTGAGCTGTTTGATCAAGCCCTCACTGGCTGCATTTCCTGACCCCTCCCTATACTCTGCCATATCTCAGGGTCCTTGAATGAGCATGGTCTTTGAAGGCCACGTTCTGGGGGCAAGGATTACTCATTGCTAATGGGCTGGCACTGTTCCTAGACATTTTTAGTGGACAGCAAGTGGTGCGGCTTACTAGTTAGAGATAGAGTATCACATTTCCATTCAGACTCAGGACTTTCTCGCTGCTTCTCTGTGTTTGGATCTTCTTCCTCAGGAGTGTCTTGGTTCCTGGGACCAGTAGCCTCACAGTATGACTGCAGAACGACTTGCTAGCTTCTCACGTGTTGTTCCTTAGTAGCCAGCTCCAGGGGAACACGCTGAACATTCTAAGTGGTTTGAAAGTCATTTGTAATAGTCGAAGCCAATGCTTGGAGACACATTCAGGTTTATTTATTTCATTGTATTTTCAATTTGGGGGATTTCCTTTTTGTATAGTTTGGATTTATAACTACAAAAATATTTACATGGGTCCAAATCTACGAGTAAAGGAACATTTAAAGGAATCTAGAACTGTTGTCATAGGCCAGGCTTATGTCTCTTTCACACTCAGTGAAACAAATAAGAATATGAAAGTTAATTTTGTCACTTCATAAGCAATCTTGTAGAAAGTGTCTTTACTACTGTTGTTTTTACGTAGATGTTCACACGGAAGCAGTGCAAGCAGCTTTGGCCAAATACAAGGAGAGGAAGATGCCTATGCCTTCAAAGAGACGTTCTGTTCTTGTGCACTCGGCTGTGGAGACCTACACGCCTCCAGGTAGGGACAGACTGTTGGGAATGGCGTCTGAGGGTGCCACACAGCCCTGCATCATAACCTTCCTTTCCCCTTGAGTTGGAATATCCTCCTGACCTGTATGTAGGAAAGATTTGGAAAAACTGGAGATTAAAAATGTTTGTATATGTGCAGTATTCCTTACTGAAAATCTGTGGTGTACGCAGTGTAGCTCTTACCCAAGTCGGTACTCGTTTTCTGTAGGACTTTTGGGTAGATTTTAATTCTTTTACTAAGATGCTATTCGTGCCTTTAAGTAAAGAGAAGAACCAAAAATAAACCCTTACTAGAATACTAAAGTTCCCTGATTTAAGAATTTTAAAATTTTTCTCATCTTATTATTGATTTTTTACTGTATTGTTACCAGGCCTTAAATGGGAGAGTATAAGGCAATTTGGAGGATTTTAAAAATGTCTTTTATTATTTTTTTATTTTTTATTATTTTTTATTATTTTTTATTTATTTTTGTTGTCATTACCATTAGAAATGAAAACTTTCACCTGGAGTTTCTCTTCAGCAGCAAGGTCGCTAAACTGAACCAGCTGTGGCCAGTGTGTGGCGCCTTCTGCCACCTCTGTTTAAGTCATGAAACTGGTAACATGAGTTTTGGTTTGATGACATAGTGAAAACCAGACACACCAGAGTTATAAGATATTTTAGTGGTTTTGGTAACACTTCCTTTCTACAGAAAAGAAAAAGTTCATATTGTTGAAAAAAAAATTCTAGAAATAGCTGTCACATGTTTCTACCAAATGTAACTATAGCTAATACCCAATTTTAAAAAGCTTTTTAATAATTGTGTAACTCATAATAAATTGCACAGTTATGGTGACTTGATAGAACCTTTATTAACAGTTAATTTTATTGACTGAAGCAGATGTGTTGGGGAAGGAATTCTTTTCGGAGCTCATTGCTGCTGCCCCTAAGAGGACACAGGTAGATGGGGTGAGGCCCCATCACCACTGCGCTGACTTGGGCCATGTGTCAGGGTTGTGTGGGGTGTTCACTTAGATGAACACTCGACACTTGGGGTCTTCTTTGACATTTGGGACTCCACCAAGGAATGTGCTGAAGCCATTTAGGGCTCGGGGTGGTCTTCACTCCCAGCGTCTGGTGTCCACAGACAGTTCTCTGGGGAAAGCTGGAGTCCAGAAACCAGTTTCCCAGGTAGGGCTCCTTGGATCTGACAGTCGGGCAAAGGTGGGTTGAGATGACCCCTTGGCCAGGCTGGGGCGTAGCGGTGCAGCTGTACAGAGCTTGCCAAGTGCTGGCCCGGGAGATGCAGGTGCCAGTGTAGGAACTCCACCCTCCTCCCTGACTCATCCCTACATTATGCCTGTCGTCATTATTTTAACCACAGACACGTCATCTGCCTCAGAAGATGAGGGCTCTTTACGGCGACCCGGGCGACTTACCTCCACTCCGCTCCAGAGCCATTCCAACATCGAGCCCTGGCTCGACCGGGTCATTCAGGGCTCGTCCACCTCATCCTCTGCATCCTCCACCTCATCTCACCCGGGAGGGAGACCCGGCGCCGCTCCCAGTGCCGCCGCCACCACCACGCTCACAGGCCCCGCGGCCCACGCCCACATAGGTCAGTAACGAGCTGCCGTGGCCCCTCCAGGACAGGGGTACCTCCACACCCATTGAGAACCACCTTCTCTTTTTCATCTGCAAATGTCTTTTCGGTAACAAAAGTAGTTCTTGATGCTTCTGTGGTTTGGTTATCCCAGACCCTGCGGTGTGTTGCCTGCCCGTGGGCCCCAGACGTGGCAGTGTCTCTTGATGTTACGTCTCCACCTCATGGCAGGTGTAGGGTATATGGTCCTTATATGTGGCCCTGCTTGCTCCTGATGGCCACCCTTAGCCTGCTGCCACTACATTGTCTCCGCCTTTGCTCGTTGTCCTGTGTGCACAGCTGCGGAGCCGTCTGTCGCTCCTGGGGCAGGAGGCCGGGGCTGTGATCATGGCGTAGCCTTTCTTCCTCCACATACCAGGTTAGCCCCTCAACTGGAAAAGAGAGGTCGGGCAAAGCTAAATCATGCAGATGTGTAGATCTTTTCTAAGTCATCCAGTTCTTTCAATTACATTAATCTTAGGAACATTTGGAAACCTTTCATCATTTGAAATCCTGTTTTCTAAACAACGACGAGCTGGCATGTGCAGCTGGTACCTTAACAACAGTATATTCCTCACGTGGTGCTGTCAGTTGCTGTGTTGTTGCAATTAACTTTGCAACCCTTCTCAGCACCCCCTCTTTTCTAGATGTGCAGGGAAGACAGAAAGTCAGGTTCTTTGTAACTTGCCTGAGCTCACACAGCTGGCCTAGCAGTGAAGCCAGGGCTGATGCAGTTTTCTTGATTCCTGTTCATTTTCTTTGCTGTTAGCTGTTCTGCTAAAACTGGAATGGTGCACCAGCCATGCACCCATGATAGGGTACTGTTTTTGGTGTGGTCCCCCCTGCCCCGGTAGGTGTGGGCTCAGGGCCTGAGCTGCCTTGGTGTGAAATCCTGGTCCTCTGGCTGGGCTGGGAGTAAACTGGATGACGTCTCAGCATCCTCTGTGGACACGCCACTGATGCTCTTCACTTTGTATTTGTTGAGTCAGTGCAGGAAATCTGCACATTTCTCTTGAGCTTGCTTCTTCTAACCATGATATAGCCTTCGATGAGAATCCACGACACCTCATTCTGCTTCTGGCACACAGAGAGGCAGCTGTCAAGGCCACTGCGTGGCAGCAGCTGGGGCTCTGCCCCAGAGAAAAGGACCCTTTGGGAAACAGCCGACTCAGCTGTTCAGGCAGCTGTCCTGGACGCCCTGCGCACCCTTCCTCAAGGAGGTTCTCAGGAGATAGCTTGAAAAACAGCTTTCGCACTGACACATTTTTTTTCTCTGTTTGTCATGGTGCTTTGACTTATTGAAACTACACAGGTATCTCCAATGTGAGAAAAACAGTAGTTTTTGAATGTTCTCTTATCTTATTCCTGCTTCCTGATCCTCTGTTCTCTGTGAGAGGGTGTAGGAAGGTAAAACTATATTAGCCATTACTGAGCTGTTGTAAACCCTGCTTCCTGATGGGTCGGAGATAAAAGTGTATCTAGCGTGATAAACTGGCCACAGTTCAAAATGTGTAACTGGGAGCCCTCGACTTCCCAGCAGTTGTGGGGGGTCTTTTAACAAAGCACTTAGCCGTAAGGTGTGTGCGTTCTGTGAAAGGCCCTGGGTGGGAAGGTTTCCAGGGAGATGTGTTACCACTGTGGATGCAAGACCCCTGACTTCGCCAGGTGTGGCCTCTTTTCTCCCATCCCACTCACATGGTCTCTCACATACACATTGTGTGATCAATTCTCGTAAATTTTAAAAATCTTAACTGTGGATTGTAGCCTTCATATACTAAATGATTTCTGGATATAGTGGACTTGAGTTCCTAAATCCAAAAATACTCACCTTCCCTCTGTTATTATAAAAATCATCCTTTTAGTTTTTAGCACTGGAGAGTTCTTCAGTTGGGCTAAGGAAAGAGATACAAAAAGAAGAATGTATTAGGTAAAAAAAAAAAATTGAGGTACAATATATTAGGTAAAGCTAATTTTTAAAAATATGTCATCTTTAGACATAGAGTAAGGAAATCAAATCCATAAAACATTGGATTATAGTTATATATAGTTATAAATATCTATATTTAAAAGTAATACTTCCAGTCATAGTAGTTCATTAAAAGAATTTTTTTAATGTTATTTATTTTTGAGAGAGAGACACAGAGAGTATGAACAGGGGAGGGGCAGACAGAGATGGACACAGAATCCAAAGCAGGCTCCAGGCTCTGAACCGTCAGCACAGAGCCTGACACAGGCTCGAACCCATGAACCGTGAGATCATGACCGGAGCCAGAGTCGGATGCTTGGGATGCTTAACCGACTGAGTCACCCATGCGCCCCTATAGTAGTTCATTTTTATTTTGAATGTTGTTTATTTTTATGTGGTGATTTTAAAACTGCTTTGTAGTTAAGATTACCATTTATGCCTTTCTTCATGAATAATGTTAAAATCATGTATTCTTTTTGCTAGACTTGGAAGAGTAGGGAAATTTCTTTCTATATGGAAAGAACTTGGTGATAGGCAAACTTTAAAATGGTAATTTCATCGACATCATGCTTTTTCAAGGATTGTGACAACTCTGTCATTAAATTGGATTTTTCCAAATGGTTTTTTCCACTGTGTAAATCATGAGTTTGGGGTTTGCTTCCATATAATTTCATCTTTCTACATATTTACAAAAGATTTTAGTTTGCATTCTGCCTGGGAAGTGAAAGGATAGGTAAACGATAGGAGCTGAAAGGTCAGAAGCACCAGAGTGGGGCACACTCATGCTCACGCCTCAGCCGCCTGCAGCCAGCCGGTGTTCCAACAGATACAGGTGCTATATGATAAAGATCCGACCCCAAAATGTGCATTCCGACAATGGGGAGTGATTTTAAACATTTCTACAGTCTAACGTCATTTGTCTTTAACCGTGATATTAATGCCTTCTGCTCTGAGAACTTGACTGAGGTCCTAATAGTGAGGTGTGTTGACCTAGCGTCGGGGATAATTTTTATCTTTGTAGGCTTATTCTTTGAAGCCTCTAAAGGTCTTTGTCTTTGTGGCATTTAACATACTTCCTGGGGGAAGTGAGGGATAGTTTTTGGAACCTGGCTATTTTTTTCCTAATACAACAAAAATGGTCCAATGACAATTGATTTAAAATGTGTTTCTGCTTCATTGAAATTTCTTTTTTTTAAATAGAAATTTTATTTTATTTTATTTTATTTTATTTTTTACAAATAGTTTATTGTCCAGTTGGTTTCCATATAACACCCAGTGCTCATCCCCACAAGTGCCCTCCTCCATGCCCATCTCCCCTCCCCCCCACACCCATCAGTCTTCAGTTCATTGAAATTTCTAAGTAACTCATTGCAGGCAGCTGTGAAGGGCAGGTTCGCCCGCGCCTGCCAGTGCACTGTCGTTGGGTGTTCTGGCTGAGGTTCCTCCGGGAACCAAGCAGCGCACGGGACACAGCCTTCCATGGGCCGTGCCTGGGAGATCAGAGTTCACAGGGTCCTGTTGCTTCTTGGTCAACCAGAAAAAAAATTAATCGGAATACCACATCCCTTGCTTCGAGCTCAGCTAGTGAAACTTTAGCTCATTGCGGTTTAAAGAGGAGCTTAACAGCCACTTTTATTTGGGGTTTGTTTTTCCAAAGCAGATCTGCACCCTGCCCCTCCCGATGTCACCACGGGTCTCGTGTCGCACTGTGAGCGTCCGCAGCTGGCTTCTGTGAGAGGCGTCCCTCGGGGCTACAGCGGCAGCGTCCTGGAGACCGCAGGGGGTGAGCATGCCTCTCTTTCTCCTCGTGAGCAGCGGAGCACAGGCTGTCTCTTCAGCTAGTGAATGTCGCTTTAGTGGATTTGCTTTAGCAAGCCTGAGCCAGCCGCCAGTTACTGCCCTTCAGCGCGTGTGAACTGAGGCCGGCTGTGTGCTGGCTGTTACCGCAGAGAGCGGCAGGGGAGGAACAGTCCAGAGCCCCTGGAGTTGGGCGGATAGGGAACAAGAAGAGCAGGGAGGAGAAAGCCTCCACATTTAAACCGGTGCCCAAGGAGTTCGGGTCTCTAAAACAGGGGAACGCGAGGCCATGGCAGCCCCTCTGTTGGACTCTGTGCGGCCTCAGTGTGAGAGCAGCCTGGCCTGACACGCCAGTGCCTGTGGCCCCGTGCACACAGTCTGAGAAACGGGCGCCGCAGAAGTCAGGGTTTCAGACGTGCAGGTCAGAAAGACCGTGATCTTCACAGCGTCCTCATTTACACCATTTCCTTTTGAAACAGTTTCCAATGTCTTTTATCAAAATCATGTGAAGTTTTTTCCCCCAGTGTATCAGATTTGAATTGCAGAAAACTCCGGGGGATCTTAGATAAGGCTTCAATACATGTTTGGATACTCCTAAGTAATAGATCAAATTTTGTCAAGGTCTTTTACCTCCTTACCCAGATGCAACAGGAAAATACTGAGTCAACATGAAGCTGGCTGTTGGGTACAGCCATAGATTTTTTTTTAAATTTGATTATAGTTTTTAAAAGTTCAAGAGCGGGGCGCCTGGGTGGCTCAGTCGGTTAGACGACCGACTTTGGCTCAGGTCATGATCTCATAGTCTGTGAGTTTGAGTCCTGAGTCGGGCTCAGAGCCTGGAGCCTGTTTCAGATTCTGTGTCTCCCTCTCTTTCTGCCCTTCCCCCATTCACATTCTGTCTGTCTCTCTCTCAAAATGAAATAAACATTAAAAAAATTTTTTTAAAAAGAGTCTCATATTTAAAAAAAAAAAAAAGAAAAAGTTCAAGAGCTTAGGGGAGCCTGGGTGGCTCAGTTGTTTACGTGTCTGACTTCAGCTCTGGTCATGATCTCATAGTCTGTGGGTTCAGGCCCCGCGTCGGGCTCTGTGCTGACAGCTCAGAGCCTGGAGCCTGCTTTAGAATCTGTGTCTCCCTCTCTTTCTACCCCTCCCCTGCTCACACTGTCTCTCTCTCTCTCTCAAAAATAAATAAACATTAAAAATTTTTTTTTAAAAGTTCAGGAGCTTAGTTGAATTATAATTGTCATGTCATCAACTGCACATACTTGAAGGATACAATTTTATAAGTTTTATTGTTTAAAATTTTTTTTAAAAGTTTATTTTGTGGGCGGAGAGAGAAAGAGAGAGAGAAAATGAGGTAGGGGAGGGGCAGGGAGAGGGGGAGAGAGAGAATCCCATGTAGGTTCCATGCTGTCAGTGCAGAGCCCGACATGGGACTCAAACTGACAAATCATGATCATGACCTGAACTGAAATCAGGAGTCGGGCCCTTAATCAACTGAGCCTCCCATGTATCCCTAATTTTATAAGTTTTAAAATTTGTATATACCGGTGACACCATGCCTGTGATCAAGATAGTAAACACATCCAGCATTCCTGAAAGTTTCCTTGTGTTCTTTTGTAATACCTCCCTTCTACTCATTTTGGCTTCTGCCATGCTTTAGGCAACCACTGATTTATTTCCTGACACTATAAATCAGTTTTCATTTTTTGGAATTTTATATAAATCGAATCATGCAGTTTTTAATTTTTGTTATGTGGCTTCTGCCACTCTACATAAGTATTTTGAGATATGTTCATGTTTTTGGATGTATCAATAGGTCGTACCTTTTACTGATAAGTAGTATTTCATTTTATGGATGTACCACACTTTATCTGTCCACCTGTTGATAGATATTTGGGTTGCCTCAAGTTTCTGGCTATTACAAATAAAACTATGAGTATTCTTATACAAGTTTTTGTGTAGAAGTATTCTTTCATTTCTTTTGGGTCAATACCTACAAATAGAATGGTTGGATCATAACAAAAACAAAGGTGGAATAAAGAACTTTCCAGACATAAAAAAAAAAAAAAAAAAAGAATGGTTGGATCATATAGTAGATTTATGCTTAACTTTCTAAGAAATTACCAAACGGGTTTCCAAAGTGGTTGTACCATTTCACATTCGCATCATGGGTGATGAGAGTTCTGGCTCCTCTACATCCTTGCCTGCAGCTGGGATTATTGGCCTGTTAGTTTTAACCACCCTTCTGGGTGTGTGGAGGTGTCTGATTGTAGTGTTAATTAGCATCTCCCTAAACACTGAGGAAGTGGAGCATCTTTTCATGTGTTTGTTTGCGATCTGTATGTCTTTTTAGAAGCATCTGTTCAGATCTTTTGCTTATTTTTTTTCTGTGATGTTTTCTTGGTAAATTTTGAGAGTTCTTTATATGTTCTAGATTCAAGTTCTTTATCAGGTATGTAATTTGGATTTTCTCACAGCCTGTGGCTTGCGTTTTTTTAAATTCTCTTAATAATGACTCTCAAAGAGTAGAAATTACTAATTTTATGAAGTCCAGTTCACCTGTGTTTTCTTTTATAGATCCTACTTTTGTGTCATTTCTAAGATATATTTTCCTAACCCAAAGTCATAAAGGTTTTCTATGTTTTCTCCTAGAATTTTATAGCTTTAGGTCTTATATGTAGATGTCTGGTCCATTTTGAGTTAATTTTAATATAAGTACAAGGTATGAATCAGAGCCTTGTTTTTGCATGTGGATGTCCAGCTGTTTCGGCCTCATTTGTTCTAAAGCCCATTCTGTCCCCACTGAGGTCCGTTGGCATCTCTTATGAAAATTGGCGGACCATACACGAGAAAGATCTGTTCCTGGCTCTCTCTGCTGCCCTGTGGTGTGTTTGTCCATCCTTACACCAGTACCACACCATCATGGTTACTGTGCTTTTATAACAGATCTTGAAATCATGCAGTTTGTCTTCAAACTTTAACTTTTCATTTTAAAATTTGCTTTGGCTATTTCAGCTCCTTTGCATTTGGATATATATTTTTAAATGTTTCTACCAAAATTCCTGCAGGATCTTGATTGATATTTTATTGACTCTGTAGATCACTTTGGAGAGAATTAGCATCTTAATAGTATATATTTCAGTTGATAAATACAGTATATCTCTCCATTTATTTGGCTCTTATAAAAACTTTAACAGCATTGTTTTGTAACATTTAATATACAGGTATTGTACCTATTTTGTTAAAATTATTCCGAAATAGGTTATATTTTTTCACACTATTGTAGATAGTATTTTAAATTTTACAGTAGTTTATTACCAGTCTATAGAAATGCATTTGGTTTTTGTATTGTATTTTGGTTGTGTTCTTATTAGTTCCAGTAGTTTTTTTTGGTAGATTCCTTAAGATTCTATGTTTGACCATATTGTGTATGAATATGTTTTTAATGTTCTTTACAAATTATTTGTCTTTAGGAACATTTATTTTTCTGGCTTTATTGCAATGTGTGTAAGATTTCCAGTTGTGTCAGTAAGAAATGTTGAAAGTGAATATGACTTGCCTTGTTTCCAACTGTAAGGGGAAAGCATCCACGTTTTCATGTTTCAATTGTGACGTTAATCGTGGGTGCTCTTCATTAGAAAGTTCCCTTTTTTCGGGGCGCCCAGGTGGCTTAGTCGGTTAGGCATCTGACTTTCGCTCAGGTCATGATCTCGCGGTTCGTGGGTTCGAGCCCCGTGTCAGGCTCTGTGCTGACTGCCAGCTCAGAGCCTGGAGCCTGTTTCAGAGTCTGTCACTCCCTCTCTCTCTGACCCTCCCCTGTTCATGCTGTCTCTCTCTCTCCTAGAAGTAAATAAATAAAACATTAAAAAAAAAAAAAAAAAAAAAAAGAACGCTTTTTCCCTGATTTCCTGAAAATTTTTATCATGGCTTTAGTTAAATGATTTTTTAAATCTATTAAAATCACATGTGGTTTTTCTTTCATAGTTTGTAGTTTGTTCCATGGATGTAGTAAATTTCATTAATGTTTGAATTTCAATGGTGTAGTAAATTTCATTGATTTTTGAATGTTAAACCAAAGTTATATTCTCAGGATAAACCCTACTTGATTATCATGCATAATTTTTTTCTGTATCATGGATTTGATTTGCTAACATTTTTAATTTTTTTTTTTTTTGAGTGAGAGAGAGAGAGAGAGAGAGAGAGCATGTGTGTAAGTGGGGGAGAGACAGAGAGAGAGAGACTCCCAAGCAGGCTCCGTGCTGTCAGTGCAGAGCCCGATGTGAGGCTCATTTCTCATGAACTATGAGATCATGGACCTGAGCTGAAATCAGGAGTCAAACACTTAACTGACTGAGCCACCCAGGCACCCTGATTTGCTAATATTTTTTATTAAGGATTTTGTGTCTGTTCAAGATACATAGTAGCCTGTCGTTTTGGTTTTATTTTTTTCTTGTAATATCTTTGTCTGGTCTTGGTATCAGGATAATGCTCACCTCAAAATGAATTGATAAATGTTCCTCCTTCTTCTAATTTCTAATCAGAAAACATGAATTTTTCTATTCTTGAATCAGTTTTGTGTCTTTGAAGGAACTTGTTCATTTCATCTATGCTCTCCAATTTAGGCATAATTTGTTCATAATATTCTTTTATTATTCTCTGAGGTATATGAATTGGTGGTGCTGTCCCTTCTTTTATTTCTGGTATTAGTAATTAGTGTCTTTTCTCTCTCTCTCTCTTTTTAAATAGGCCCCATGCCCATGGTAGAGCTTGAACTCATGACCTTGAGATTGAAAGTCTCATGCTCTATCAACTGAGCCAGCCAGATGCCCCAGTGCTCTCTGTCTTTTTTTCTTGATCATTCTAGCTAGAAAGTTCATTGACTTTTATTTATCTTTCAAAGAACCAGTTTGGGTTTAATTATTTTTTTCTATTATGTTTATTTCTAATCTTATATTTATTCCTTCCTTTTTTCTACTTATTTTC